TGAACTGCAAACCTTTATGGATGAAAATCACCCTGACACAGCTGTTGCAAGCCGTGCTGGTGACTATTTCAATGACAATGTTGTGGCCCATTTTAGACAAATCGTAAAGGAACGGGAGGTACAGAGCTCTATGGACAGATTTGTTGTGCGACAGAGGTCCAGTGACTCTCAAGCTGGTCCTAGTGGCATTTAAAAGAAGAAGGGAAGTAACCCCGGAAAAGGACTTGCTACCTCAAGTCCTAATGGAAGGGGATTCCCCTTCTAAACAATAAGTTCGACACTCTCCCCTCCTCCCATCCCATCAATCATCACCAGATCTTCAATAAAAGTAAGTGTCATGTAAGTGTGCATGCCTTTTTCAGTTTGTGTGTATTAAAATTAACATTTCATGTGGTAAAAAAATTTTTTTTTTCATACTTTTGGGTGTCTTGCACGGATTAATTTTATTTCCATTATTTCTTATGGGGAAAATTCATTCACATAACGATTATTTCGCATAACAATTACCCCTCTTGCACGGATTAAAATCGTTAACCGGGGGTCCACTGTACTCGTGTATCACTAAGAAAATCCCAGCGTGTTCAAGAAAAACAATGTCATGAAGAATAGTGTGTGTGTGATATGGAAAGCTAATCATAAGGCAGGGGTCACAAGGCAAATTTTCAAAGAGTGGGTTAAGGATGTGTTTGGCCCAAGTGTGAAAAAATACCTCCTGGAAAAGAAATTGCCACTTAAGTGCCTCCTATTACTGGACAATGCTCCTGCACATCCTCCAGACTTGCAAGATCAAGTGTTTAAGGACATCAGTTTCATTACAGTGAAGCTCTTGCCTCCTAACACCACTCCTCTCCTCCAGCCCATGGACCAGCAGGTCATTTCTAACTTCAAAAAACTCTACACAAAAGCAGTGTTTCAAAAGTGCTTTGAAGTGATGTCGGACACTCAGTTGACCCTAAGAGAGTTCTGGAGGAATCACTTCACTATCCTCCATTGCATAAGCCTTATAGGTAAGGCTTGGAAGGGAGTGACTTCCAGGACTTTGAACTCTGCTTGGAGAAAACTGTGGCCAGATTATGTCCAGGAAAGGGATTTTGAAGGGTTTGAGGCTGACCCTGACCCTGCGGACTCTATTGTGGCACTGGGGAAGTCCCCGGGGTTGGAGGTGAGTGGCGAGGATGTGGAAGAGCTGGTGGAGGACCACAGGGAAGAGCTAACCACTGAAGAGCTGCAAGAGCTTCAACTTGAACAGCAACAGACTGCAGCTGAGGAACTTGCTTGAGAGGAGGAGGAAGAGGGAGTGAAGGAGGTCCCTTCTTAAGAGATTAAAGAGGTGTGTGCAATGTGGACCAGGGTGCAAGAGTTTGTAGAGAAACATCACCCTGACAAAGCTGAAACAAGCCATATCTGCAACATGTTTAGTTACAATACCCTGTCCCACTTCAGGGAAATCTTAAAGAGATGCCAGAATCAAAGTACTCTGGACAGTTACTTTGTGAGACAGGGGTCTAGTGACTCTCAAGCTGGTCCTAGTGGCATTAAAAGACAAAGAAGGGAAGTAACCCCAGAGAAGGCCTTGCTACCTAAAGTCTTTATGGAGGGGGATTCCCCTTCCAAACACAAACTCCTCCTCCTTTCTTCCTCCCTATCTTCCAGAAGCCAGCATTAGCCTTCAATAAAGGTATGTAATACTTACATAATTGTTACAAAAATAATTTTTTTATAAAGATTTTTGTCTGGAACAGATTAATTGTATTTCCATTAATTCTCATGGGAAATATTAATTCGGTTTTTGACCATTTCGGTTATCGGCCGACCTTCTGGAACGGATTATAGCCGATAACCAGGGTCCACTGTATAAGAAGGGCAGAGTATATGGAGAGCAAAAGAAAGGTGAAGAGAGTGGTAAGAGAGTGCAAAAGAAGAGAAAATGATAGAGTGGGAGAGTCAGTGTCAAGAAATTTTGCTGAGAATAAGACAAATTTTGGAGATACACAAATTAAGAAAGCCTAGGCAATGAATAGATTTGTCACTTAAAAACAGAGTAGGGGAGTCAGCAAATTGGGGGCTGGAGGTATTGGGTAGATGGCAGGAATATTTTGAGGAACTTTTAAATGTTGATGAAGAAAGGGAGGCAGTAATTTCATGCAATGGCCAGGGAGGTATAACATCTTCTAGGAGTGAAGAAGAAGAGCAGGATGTGAGTGTGGGGGAGGTGTGTGAGGCAGTACGTGAATGAAAGGGGGTAAAGCAGCTGGAACTGACAGGATCATAACAGAAATGTTAAAAAAAGGAGAGGATATAGTGTTGGAGTGGTTGGTATTTTTGTTTAATAAATGTATGAAAGACAGGAAGGTACCTAAGGATTGGCAGAAAGCAAGTATAATTTCTTTATATAAAGGGAAGGGGGACAAAAGAGACTGTAAAAATTATAGGGGTATAAGTTTACCGAGTCAACTGCCCAGGGAGTTACTACCATCCTGCCAAGTGAGTGTAAAATGAAAGCCTGTAATTGTTTTACATGATGGTAGGACTACTGGTGGCTTTTTCTGTCTCATAAACATGCAAGATTTCAGGTACATCTTGCTACCTACACTTAGGTCACACTACACATGCATGTACAACCATATATATATACACACCCCTCTGGATTTTCTTCTATTTTCTTACTAGTTTTTGTACTTGTTTATTTCCTCTTATCTCCATAGGGATGTAGAACAGAATTCTTCCTCCATAAGCAATGTGTGTCCTGAGAGGCGACTAAAATGCCGGGAGCAAATGGATAGTAACCCTTTCCCCTGTATATATTCCTAAATGTAAAAGAAGATACTTTCATTTTTTCTCTTGGGCCACCCCGCCTCTATGGGATACGGCCAGTATGTTCAAAGAAAGAAGTTTACTGAGTATACCACATAAAGTGCATGGTAGGGTTATTATTGAAAGAATTAGAGGTAAGACTGACAGCAGGATTGCAGATGAGCAAGGAAGTTTTTAGAATGGGTAGGGGATGTGTAGATCAGATGTTTACATTGAAGCATATATGTGAACAGTATTTAGATAAAGTTAGGGAAGTTTTCATTGCATTTATAGATTTAGAAAAGGCATATGATAGAGTGGATAGGGGAGCAATGTGGCAGATGTTGCAAGTGTATGGAATAGGTGGTAAGTTACTAAATGTTGTAAAGAGATTTTATGAGGATAGTGAGGTTCAGGTTAGGATATGTAGGAGAGAGGGAGATTACTTCCCAGTAAAAGTATGTCTTAGACAGGGATGTGTAATGTCATTAATGCTGTTTAACATATTTATAGATGGAGTTGAAAAAGAAGTAAATGCAATGGTGTTGGGGAGAGAGCTGGGATTAAATTATGGGGAATCAAATACAAAATGAGAGTTGACACAGTTACTTTCTTCTGATAATACTATACTTTTGGGGGATTCTGAAGAAAAGTGGCAAGGCTAGTGGACAAGTTTGGGAGGGTGTGTAAAGGTAGAAAATTGAAAGTGAACATAGATAAGAGTAAGGTGATGAGGGTATCAAACAATTTAGATACAGAAAAATTGGATATGACACTGGAGGGAGAGAGTGGAAGTTTCATAGGTCTACCACCCATCAGACAGACCCACAACTTCATATCCTAGTGACAACAAATAAGGGTACATCTCTGACATCACCTTCCAGAACAGTGACACCCTATCCTCATCTGGAGTGGAGACATCCACAGTCTTAGTCACCAACAGATTAATGCCAGGCATGTTGGATCCTTCACTTTCTCAGCCCAATGATGCTCCTGCCACAATGAGCACTGCTGAAGGTGGACCAGGAACTCTTAATCCCCAGGTAACACTAGGCCAGGACTTACTGATGAAAGTCTGATAGGTACTGAGAATGATACACAAGTGCTGACCCTGGTATCATTGGACAATGGAATAACAGAAACTGTAGTGGCATCATCGGTGGCTTATTCATCCTCGCAGAAAACTTCTACCGAGGATCTTAATACCACTCCTTCAGCGTTCGTGACATTAGTGACAGAAAAACAGCCAGACACACGTGTTGTCTGCCACATCGGGCGAAGCGTCCACACCAACACAACTGTCTTCCATAGAAATTGAGAATGTTTGCAGGTTTTTGGGAGTTGACTTGTCAGCAGATGGGTTTATGAAGGATAAGGTTAACCATAGAATGAAGGAAAAAAGTTGAGTGGTGCACTGAGCTATTTGTGGAGACAAAGAATGTTATCCATGGAGGCAAAGAAGAGATTATACGAGAGTATAGTAGTACCAACACTCTTATATGGGTGTGAAGCATGGGTTGTAAATGCTGCAGCAAGGAGGCAGCTGGAGGCAGTGGAGATTTCATGCTGAAGTGTAATGTGTGGTGTATACATTATGCAGAGAATTCGTAGTATGGAAATTAGGAGGAGATGTGGAGTTGCTAAAATTTTGTATTAGTCAGAGGGCTGAAGAGGGGGTGTTGAGGTGGTTTGGTCATTTAGAGAGAATGGAACAAAGTAAATGACTTGGAGAGCGTATAAATCTGTAGGGGAAGGAAGGTGGGGTAGGGGTTGTCCCCGAAAAGGTTAGGGAATGGGGGTAAAGGAGGTTTTCTGGGCAAGGGGCTTGGACTTCCAGTAAGGATGCATGAGTGTGTTAGATAGGAGTGAATGGAGATGAATGGTTTTTGGGACCTGACGAGCTGTTGGAGTGTGAGCAGGGTAATATTTTATGAAGAGATTCAGGGAAACTGGTTAGCTGGACTTGAGTCCTGGAAATGGGAAGTACAATGCCTGCACATTAAAGGAGGTGTTTGGGATACTGGCAGTTTGGAGGGAAGTCTAAGCTGTCATATCTGAGTGCCTCTGCAAAGACAGTGATTATGTATGATTGATGGTGAGTGTTGAATGATGATGAAAGTTTTTTTCTTTATTGGTTTTTCTTTCTTTTTGGGTCACCCTGCCTCAGTGGGAAACAGCAGTGTTAAAAAAAAAAATTAAGAACTGACCTTGAGGTCGGAGAATACTTCTTAGCTCTGCTTCTTCGCAGACCAGTGTCGGTACTAGCTGATCGACCAGTATTTGGGGTCTTGTCTGAGTCACTGCCGAAGATGAAAGATAAATATTAGTTTCAATTAGCTGCTCTCCTCACTGTGTATGTGCACACTTAAGACACAAACACGCACAGACACATCGCATGCATGCACACATGCGTGTGCACATGCTATACATCCACCTATTGGTGCATGTACAGAACGTGCATGGTTGCTAAACTGTGAACGGTCATTAAAGTGAGTTTGACTGTAACAGTAATAGTGTTACACTTTCTGGTGTAATGCCCCTCCCTCTTCCCATATTTTTTAACATACTTGCCCTCTCAAACTGAGGTAAGGTGACCCGAAAAAGAGGAGACACTTTCATCATCATTCATTCCATCACCATCTTACTAAAGGCACACAGACATTACAGCTCATATGCCCCTCCAAACTGCAATATGTCCAATCCCTCCTTCAGAGCACAGGCACTGTACTTTCCACCTCCAGGACTCAAGTCTGGCTAACTGGTTGCCCTGAATTCCTTCCTATATGTCACCTTGCTCACACTCCAACAGCATGTCAAGTCATAAAAAATATTTGCTTCTATTCACTCATATCTAACACATTCACACACGCTTGCTGGATGTCCAAGCCCCTCACACACACAAAAAAACTCCTTCCTCCAACCTTTCCTAGGATGACCCCTACCCTACTTTCCTTCTACTACAGATTTATACGAACACCAAATCATCCTATTTTGTTTCATGTTCTCTAAATGTCCAAACCACCTCTGGATTATGCTTTTAGTAATCCCGCACCTTCTTCTAATCTTCAAGCTACGAATTTTCTGCATAATATTCACACCACACACTGCCATCATGCATAACATCTCCACTGTTCAGCCTTCTCCATGCTGTAACATGTAGTGTTTCCCAGCATGTCCCCAAATACAGGCATTTCAATAAAACTCTAATCTGCAATATTTCAAAGTTGAATTTTTGTCACTCTCATAAAGTGTCAAATACTACCATTGCCTTAAAAAATTCCCTGTGTGGAAAAAGACACTTATGTACAGCTCAGGACATTTATTAGAGGAAATGTTCTGACACGAGTGGCTTCTTCAGTCCTTAATATACAGGTAGAGGATGGTGTCATAAACAGCTGCAGCTTCCCACCAGAGCCTTAAATACACAGCTATCACTGCAATATTTACCCTTGAAGCAGATGGTGTCTCAGGTTATGTCAAGCCCATTCTGGTCTAACTCAAAGACATGTTGCATTTTTTCAGGTCTTGTACAGCACAATAATCACAAAAAGTAGAGAATATAAGTTTTTATTATTATTATCACACTGGCTGATTCCCACCAAGGCAGGGTGGCCCGAAAAAGAAAAACTTTCACCATCATTCACTCCATCACTGTCTTGCCAGAAGGGTGCTTTACACTACAGTTTTTAAACTGCAACATTAACACCCCTCCTTCAGAGTGCAGGCACTGTACTTCCCATCTCCAGGACTCAAGTCCGGCCTGCCGGTTTCCCTGAACCCCTTCATAAATGTTACTTTGCTCACACTCCAACAGCACGTCAAGTATTAAAAAAACCCTTTGTCTCCATTCACTCCTATCAAACACGCTCACGCATGCCTGCTGAAAGTCCAAGCCCCTCGCACACAAAACCTCCTTTACCCCCTCTCTCCAACCTTTCCTTGGCCGACCCCTACCCCGCCTTCCTTCCACTACAGACTGATACACTCTTGAAGTCATTCTGTTTCGCTCCATTCTCTCTACATGTCCGAACCACCTCAACAACCCTTCCTCAGCCCTCTGGACAACAGTTTTGGTAATCCCGCACCTCCTCCTAACTTCCAAACTACGAATTCTCTGCATTATATTCACACCACACATTGCCCTCAGACATGACATCTCCACTGCCTCCAGCCTTCTCCTCGCTGCAACATTCATCACCCATGCTTCACACCCATATAAGAGCGTTGGTAAAACTATACTCTCATACATTCCCCTCTTTGCCTCCAAGGACAAAGTTCTTTGTCTCCACAGACTCCTAAGTGCACCACTCACTCTTTTCCCCTCATCAATTCTATGATTCACCTCATCTTTCATAGACCCATCCGCTGACACTTCCACTCCCAAATATCTGAATACATTCACCTCCTCCATACTCTCTCCCTCCAATCTGATATTCAATCTTTCATCACCTAATCTTTTTGTTATCCTCATAACCTTACTCTTTCCTATATTCACCTTTAATTTTCTTCTTTTGCACACCCTTCCAAATTCATCCACCAATCTCTGCAACTTCTCTTCAGAATCTCCCAAGAGCACAGTGTCATCAGCAAAGAGCAGCTGTGACAACTCCCACTTTGTGTGTGATTCTTTATCTTTTAACTCCACGCCTCTTGCCAAGACCCTCGCATTTACTTCTCTTACAACCCATCTATAAATATATTAAACAACCACGGTGACATCACACATCCTTGTCTAAGGCCTACTTTTACTGGGAAATAATTTCCCTCTTTCCTACATACTCTAACTTGAGCCTCACTATCCTCGTAAAAACTCTTCACTGCTTTCAGTAACCTACCTCCTACACCATACACTTGCAACATCTGCCACATTGCCCCCCTATCCACCCTGTCATACGCCTTTTCCAAATCCATAAATGCCACAAAGACCTCTTTAGCCTTATCTAAATACTGTTCACTTATATGTTTCACTGTAAACACCTGGTCCACACACCCCCTACCTTTCCTAAAGCCTCCTTGTTCATCTGCTATCCTATTCTCCGTCTTACTCTTAATTCTTTCAATAATAACTCTACCATACACTTTACCAGGTATACTCAGCAGACTTATCCCCCTATAATTTTTGCACTCTCTTTTATCCCCTTTACCTTTATACAAAGGAACTATGCATGCTCTCTGCCAATCCCTAGGTACCTTACCCTCTTCCATACATTTATTAAATAATTGCACCAACCACTCCAAAACTATATCCCCACCTGCTTTTAACATTTCTATCTTTATCCCATCAATCCCGGCTGCCTTACCCCCTTTCATTTTACCTACTGCCTCACGAACTTCCCCCACACTCACAACTGGCTCTTCCTCACTCCTACAAGATGTTATTCCTCCTTGTCCTATACACGAAATCACAGCTTCCCTATCTTCATCAACATTTAACAATTCCTCAAAATATTCCCTCCATCTTCCCAATACCTCTAACTCTCCATTTAATAACTCTCCTCTCCTATTTTTAACTGACAAATCCATTTGTTCTCTAGGCTTCCTTAACTTGTTAATCTCACTCCAAAACTTTTTCTTATTTTCAACAAATTGTTGATAACATCTCACCCACTCTCTCATTTGCTCTCTTTTTACATTGCTTCACCACTCTCTTAACTTCTCTCTTTTTCTCCATATACTCTTCCCTCCTTGCATCACTTCTACTTTGTAAAAACTTCTCATATGCTAACTTTTTCTCCCTTACTACTCTCTTTACATCATCATTCCACCAATCGCTCCTCTTCCCTCCCGCACCCACTTTCCTGTAACCACAAACTTCTGCTGAACACTTTTAACACTACATTTTTAAACCTACCCCATACCTCTTCGATCCCATTGCCTATGCTCTCATTAGCCCATCTATCCTCCAATAGCTGTTTATATCTTACCCTAACTGCCTCCTCTTTTAGTTTATAAACCTTCACCTCTCTCTTCCCTGATGCTTCTATTCTCCTTGTATCCCATCTACCTTTTACTCTCAGTGTAGCTACAACTAGAAAGTGATCTGATATATCTGTGGCCCCTCTATAAACATGTACATCCTGAAGTCTACTCAACAGTCTTTTATCTACCAATACATAATCCAACAAACTACTGTCATTTCGCCCTACATCATATCTTGTATACTTATTTATCCTCTTTTTCTTAAAATATGTATTACCTATAACTAAACCCCTTTCTATACAAAGTTCAATCAAAGGGCTCCCATTATCATTTACACCTGGCACCCCAAACTTACCTACCACACCTCTCTAAAAGTTTCTCCTACTTTAGCATTCAGGTCCCCTACCACAATTACTCTCTCACTTGGTTCAAAGGCTCCTATACATTCACTTAACATCTCCCAAAATCTCTCTCTCTCCTCTACATTCCTCTCTTCTCCAGGTGCATACACGCTTATTATGACCCACTTTTCGCATCCAACCTTTACTTTAATCCACATAATTCTTGAATTTACACATTCATATTCTCTTTTCTCCTTCCATAACTGATCATTTAACATTACTGCTACCCCTTCCTTTGCTCTAACTCTCTCAGATACTCCAGATTTAATCCCATTTATTTCCCCCCACTGAAACTCCCCTACCCCCTTCAGCTTTGTTTCGCTTAGGGCCAGGACATCCAACTTCTTTTCATTCATAACATCAGCAATCATCTGTTTCTTGTCATCCGCACTACATCCACGCACATTTAAGCATCCCAGTTTTATAAAGTTTTTCTTCTTCTCTTTTTCTTCTTCTCTTTTTTCTTCTTTCAGTCTTAAAATTTTCAATTTAAAACAATTAAATGTTATTAATTAATGGACAGCATTTTAACAAAGCAATCATTTTGAACAAGAATGGGAATACATTAAGAAAACATACCAGTACTTCTTGGAAAATTCTGCTATATAGGAAAGACAAGAATACTTAACAAATAAAGAATATACAGCAGTATAAATTACAGTAGACCGTCGATTAACACGGGTTCCTTTACAGTGTTTTCTCCATTACACTATTGCAAAACTGTGATATATTTTCAACTAACACTTTGTAAAATTCAACTAACATGGTTTCCCTTCTAGACAGGGAAAAAATTTGAGCACCACTCCAGGTGGTGAGGTATTTTTCCTCTCTGTGTAGTGGGCTCTCAGGCAGCCAGTCAGTGGATCAGTCCATTGTTATTGTGGGGAGAGCTTAGCTTCCTTCCCTGCTACCCCAGTCAAAGTGTTCAGTACCTACACGACCCTTACGATAACCATATCTGTTTGTGAACTGACTGACTT